TTTACTGAATATGAAAAAGTTGTGTTGATTTAACTCAGTTGTTTAAGTTTCTGCCAAAGCAAAACATTTGTGTGCAACCAATGTCCACTATTGAATCAAGTAAATCCAACATGGACTTTTTTTCAGTGTATCCCAGCTGTCATAGGGAAAGAGGCGGGGTACACCCTGGACAGGTCGCCAGTTTGTCGCAGGGCTAGCACACAGAGACAGACTGTCATTCACACCTATGGGCAATTTAGATTTTTCAATTAACCTATCCCCACAAAGTGCACATCTTTGGGAAAGCTATCCACCAGTTAATATATCATTTAATTGTGATACACATTAACCTTACACATGACAGTAAACCAATACATTATGTTCATGTGAATGTAATTATGGCTAATATGCAAACCACTCTGCCAACTCTTGTACAATATTGACTAGTCTTCTTCGATTACTTAGCATGGGGTGAAGAGAATAGCATACATTTACTGGGCACATAGTATTAATTAGCAACCATGTCACTGAACTTGACAAATATTCAGCTGGGGGGGAGGGAATGGAATATGAGAGATAAAACCTCAAAACTCATGTGTCATCCCAGGGTCGTGTGGCACTAAGACAGTCTAGAAAACATGTGTGACTGTGCTGTTCACAGCACTGTAACACATTCACTGGTTTACTGCTGGTTCTTTGCCATGAAGCCAAAGAACTGATACTAACTTGTGTTCAGACACCAGAGTTCTCTGCTTACATAAAGCCCACTAGCTGTAGGCTACGAAATATTTTCCACCGGTGTCACAGTGGCTAACCAAACTCCACCTCAGACTACAACCCTGCTCTCCTCCTGACCTTATTTTGTCTTCTCTGTCCTCTATCACACCCTTCTCTGCCTCACCCTTCTTCTGACTAATGGATTAAAGTAATTGTGACATGGCTGTGCCCACATTCTGTTGGTAGGGTGAAAATTGATATTCCGGCTTTGTTGCTGTCACTAAACTGTTGATGAAACTGCATTGCAGCAGTGCAATACCAGGTCGTCTCGTTAGTAAAGATGTAAAGCATGGGTTGCCTTTCTGTCTTCTTCATTTTACAGTTAAAAGTAATGCTCAGAATGCTATGTTTTATTTGGTTTCTTGTTTGGTAAAGCCATACTAAACTTTTTTTTTAGCTAAATTGCCTGTATGGTTGCAGGCTCTATCGGCTTCCAGGTATTTGAGTGCCAACATGGATACAGTAACAGTCTCTGGTTAGCCCTGCCTGAAACTGAGGAACCTGCTTCCCACCACACACAAAGTCTAACAGATACAAAAGACAACTTACTGACCTCTGATCTTCCCGCTCAGTTGCCTCTAGAGCTAACCAGAATGACAGAAGTTCAGACAGATAACAGCAAAAGACCAACCTAAAAGACAGTATTCATGTTAATGCTAAAATTCTCTTCTAAGGTTTAACAACTACTGACTATATACTTTGTAAAAAATAAGTGTCACCATAGACAAGGAGTCACACAACAGATGTGTGTAGAAGTAATGGAGAAGTAAATTTGAGTCCTTATCTTATCAAAGCCATTTTTAATATTCTAGATATGTTGACGTAATATTCTTCCTTTGAACCAACATAAAAATATTAAAGTCACCAGTCTGTTGTCTAAAATCAAACAAGTTTAAGATGTATAATTGCACTATTATTCCTGTTTCCGTGCATTGCGGGCATTTCCTTCAGCAAGGTCTGCAGGATTAAAAACATAATGCCAACAAAAGACACCTCTAACACTTAGATATCACAGGAGCATGGCCCCTAGCTGATCAGATCTAATCTGAGGTCAGAAAATCAAATTAGAACATGACCAACACCCTAGATTGATCATAAACCATTACAGACCGAAACTACAAATCATGTTGTTTTGTTTCTTGTTTGGTTTTTAAACAGTACACTGTAAACAACTACACAGTGTTTAATGCATTACAATTGACGGTTTACATGATGCATTTTAGATTAGCAAATTTAACATAGTCAAAGCAAATGAATTGATAACATGTAAGTGGATCCATAATTCAGTGTTTAACACATTCACCTAACCTGTGAAAGATCCCCAGCTCAAGAGTGGGAAGGGACGCAAATCCCAGAGAGAGTTATGCCAGGAAGGGCAAAAATCCATGCCAAAGCAAATATGTGGATTCATCCCTTGTGGCAACTCATGAAAATGTGTGTTAATTAAATAAAATGAGTGAAATAGGTGACACACAAAGTGAGTATATACACAAATAGCCTTCTTCAGTCGTGTCTCACGATTCTTAAGTTTGGAAAGCCAATGAACACATTGAACATTAATGACTACAGCATTCTAACAAGCTGCACTCTTCAGTTTCATGTGGCTGCTGTGGTTTCAAAAATCCTCCAGGTTTTTTTTTTCAAATTGCTGAAAAGCCTGAGCGAAAAAATGAGGTGACCTATTTAATGAGGCTGGATGGTTTCATATCTTTATAAGTCAACCTCGCGTTGCTGTTCCATCTCATCCCATGAACTTCTGTCTTTCCGGTTCGATAAGCTGTCTTCACAGCATATACTGATCTCTCTCCATGTAGATCTCTCACAGCTCTGCATCATCAATAACTTCAAAGGCACAAAAGCAGCTAAATTAGGTTCGCCACTTTCTTCTGTCATGACTAATGAGCTTTCCCTTCGTTTGTATATTAGTCTCAGTCCGCTGTGGCCGCACCCCAGGGAACAGGCCGCTGCTGTGCCTTCCTGTGAACAGGTAAGCCCAAACAGATGACAAGGCAACAGAATGGAAATACAAACAATAGGGTTTTGTTTGAATTTTATTTGAGCCATATGTAGTGTTCAATTACCATACAAATGGATACATCCACTTACCCTTTAATAAAACATTCAGTAACAGTAATGATGATGTTTTTACACAAAACACAACCTTATAAAAAAAACTTTTATTCTGCATTTATTCTAATTTATTCAACATGTAATAAAATATTTGAAAGTCTGTTGTTTTACCAAATTAATAATATATAACTAGTATTTCTCCCATTTAAAGATTAGAAAATCAGAATCAGAATACTCAAATAACCCCCATAATGTTATGTCAACAAAACATAAAGACATAACCTGAACTATAGTTTTGGGCAGCCATAGCCAAGTGTTGAACTCCCTGTGGTTGTAACATATCTGGTTTATTGTCAAGATCATCTTCCACATGACTGAGTTGAACTATCATTAAATAGGACGCATACAAAAATCTAAAAATATACATCATTGCAAAGATGAGATCATACGCTTGGCGAGAGAGTGGGAAACAGGCTATGATTATAGGCTTTTGTCACAGGAAAGAAATGGTTATTTGTCAGCACCATGTCAAAATAGGCCACAAAAGAAATCAACACTCTTGTGGCCAGTAAGACAGGGCCAGTGTGGCTTACATCACTATTTTCCCTAACAAACTGCTTTATTTTTTTTTAAGTGAGCTGCTATTAGTCATTAGTTAATTGCATTTTGCCTATACATTAATGGGAGACTTCAACAATACACTGTATACAAACTGTATACAAACCTTACTATTTATTCTGATTTTTAAAAGTCATGCTGTGTCCACTGGGGTAAAGAAACTATAACCACCTAACTAGACAGGACTTACAGTGGAAGCTGGATTACCAAGACTGACTCGTGTTAGTGCTGTACACAAGTCAATTAAATGCAGGAGACCTCTGAACTGAGATAAAGAGCAATGTACTCAGATAAAGTGAGTTTTATGGCTTCCACAGAATATCAGTTTGCACTGAGCAGCGGGTTCACTCGCATCCACTTCCTCTGATATGACTTCTTCCATAAAACACAAAATTGACTTTGTTATGTAAGATGTTTGAAATTCAGTCGGGGTACCGTGTCTTTTTCCTACTGAAGTGAAGAAAACAACGACACTCGGACCGTGTACATGTGTTTGTGTTTTGCAAACAGTATATGTTTCATTCAACTTTCAACTCTTCGAAAATTGTGTGGACTGGATGGGGAGGGGAATCCCTTTCACTAGCGTGCCCAAAAGGTGGCAGTGTTGAGTTTTACAATGGTGTGCGAAAACATGACAACCTCTTCAATCCGCCTTTCATATTTTTTTTCCCTTTTTTTGTCAAGTTACCGCGCAGCTTCTTACATGCCACTTTTGTTTTATATTTAGTTGATAAAACATAGTTTCTAGGTTTTAATTGTGCTGTACATTCAGACAAATAACAGACATTGCCATTAGGAAGTAGACGGGTTTTGTTCAGGTAATATTCGCAAGATTAAGACTTATGTCTTAAAATGTATAACCAGTTTATGCTACAGGGTTACGCGAACTATATAAGGTCTGTTTTATGATTGCTTTCTCTCTCTTTTTTCTATATGTCAAGCATTACAACTCCGTTTTGTAATTAATTTAGAGCATGCTGTTTCGTTCCACTTACAACTCATACTTCGAAAAAGTAAAGTAATAAATAAATAAATGAATAAATAAAATGAAATCGAAATTACGATAAAAAGAACAAAAGGATCTATGCTCCGACTGACAGTCAGCTGGTGTCCATTGACGGTAGATAAAAGTTTTGTTTCTCTGGGCTACTAATATGTTAATTAGCTGTTAGAGTGTGCGACCCTATTGGCTCGTCGTCCGAGTCAATTTCCCATTTCCAGCCTGACGTCAGAGCGGCTACAATGCTTAAACTCATCTGCTGTGTGATCCCACTAAAAAATCGCCCCACCAGACAGCGGCTTAGAACGTGCAAGTGAGCTTTTACTCCCTGACTTTCGGTGTGTTTCCCTCTCCGCGTGCGCAATGTATTCATGAAGACACCGTAAAGTGTTAAATGTTTGAAATCCAAAACCGCCGAATTTCACATGCTGAAAAAGGACTCCGCTACTCGTACGCGCGGCACTGGTGTGTCAGTGCAATAGACTCTGCAAAGAAACTCTACTCACACACGCCTGCAAGTCCGCGGCTGCAAAAAGGACGCCGAAAACCTAATTTTTTTTTCAGTTTCAAGACAAACGCGTAAAAATCAAACTGGCTCACGTTCTTCCCAACCAACCCAGTTTGACAGCTGCTCTTCACCCCGTTTGGAGGACTGTCAGCAGCAAGAGGATGGCATCAGAGCTGGCAATGAGCAACTCCGACCTGCCCACCAGTCCCCTGGCCATGGAATATGTTAATGACTTCGATCTGATGAAGTTTGAAGTGAAAAAGGAGCCGGTGGAGCCCGATCGCAACATCAGCCAGTGCAGTCGCCTTATCGCCGGGGGATCCTTGTCTTCCACCCCGATGAGCACGCCTTGCAGCTCGGTGCCCCCTTCCCCAAGCTTCTCGGCGCCCAGTCCGGGCTCGGGGAGTGAGCAGAAGACACACATTGAGGATTTCTACTGGATGTCCGGTTATCAACAGCAGCTGAATCCAGAGGCGCTGGGCTTCAGCCCCGAAGACGCGGTCGAGGCGCTGATCAACAGCAGTCATCAGCTCCAGTCTTTCGATGGCTATGCCAGGGGCCAGCAGTTTGCTGGTGCAGCCGGAGGAGGAAGCACCATGGCCGGGGAAGAGATGGGGTCCGCCGCGGCGGTGGTGTCGGCAGTAATTGCTGCGGCTCCCGCTCAGAACGGAGCGCAACACCACCACCACCACCATCACCACCACAGCAGCAGCCACCACCAGGCACCGGGCGTCCAGTCCAACGGCACTTCTGGGACAAATCACCCACACATGCGCTTGGAGGAGCGGTTCACAGACGAGCAGCTGGTGACCATGTCAGTGCGGGAGCTCAACCGGCAGCTACGGGGGGTCAGCAAAGAAGAGGTGATCAGATTGAAACAGAAGAGGAGGACCCTAAAGAACAGAGGCTACGCTCAGTCCTGCCGGTTCAAGCGAGTTCAGCAGCGGCACGTCCTGGAGGGAGAGAAGACACAACTCCTGCAGCAGGTCGAGCACCTAAAGCAAGAGATCTCCAGGCTGGTCCGGGAGAGGGACGCGTACAAAGAAAAGTATGAGAAGCTCATCAGCAACGGCTTCAGAGAAAATGGATCCAGCAGTGACAACAACCCTTCATCTCCGGAGTTTTTCATGTGAGTTTCGACATTATCGCGAAATAAAACTATATCAGATGAATAACTCACCCCGCGTAAAAAGTTTTCATTCTGAAACTTTTTTTTTATTATTTACTTGACGCAAATCCCACTATATGCCTAGATCAAGAACTAATTTATCAACTTTTTGATTTTTTTTATTACATTTATTTTTTTTGAAAACAAGTTCCCTCCATTCTACCACTGCTGTAGATTTGGAGGGCTTTGTTATCCGCATTTTTTTTTAATCTAGAAGAGGCGTATTGAGAAAACTTTCTACTTTTTGCTATCATACTCAGTATATTACACATAGTTTGTCTGTCAAGATTTTTTTTTCATCTCTGTTCATTAGATTTGCAGTGTTTGATATTTGAAAGTTGATCCAACTTTATGCCGCAGTATACCAAGTGTGCATGCAAGCACTAAGTATACTCCTTTGAAGTTCATCAACTTGGCCCTTTTTCATCATTTTAGTTTTGATTCAGTGTACAGATTCTTATCAAAAGTGCATCCATCGACAGTATGTTTTTTTCCTTTTTTTCTTTCTTTCTCCTTTTTTTATTTTTTATTTTTTTTTGTCTGCCAAACTTGGAGGATTGCAAGCCTGCCGTTTGACGCCACCTCATCTCATGCGTTTGCTTGTTATTGTGTGGAGCAACAAAAGACTGTATCCATTACAAACTCTTCATTGTTTTAAAGAGATGTGTTATTGAACTGCCCTGCATGCTGGACATGTATGGTTTTTCTTTCTATGCTTGAAGATGTCCTTTTTTGTCGGATGACTCCAGCATGGCACTCATACTTCATTTAGGCCTCCTCACTTTTTTGGGACAGAGACAAAAAAGTGACAGGACTTCCCACCCCCTGTAGTGGTGCATTTCAGCTGTGTTGAAGTGCACCACCATCGGCTGTCATAAGACTGCAGTGAATGCGCTGGCATTCCTGGTGGAAGTTTGTCGGCGGGGACCCTGGTGCGAGGGGAAAAAGAAAAGACTTCAGTATGAAGGAAATTACCAGTCAATTTCCTGGAAGTTTAGTCTGTTGCTAAGCCTATGTTGTTATTTAAATATATTCCATTGTGCATTTGTCATCATTTGAATAATTTTTAAAGCGTAATTTAAAGACAAAGTTTTATAATCTATGATGCAAAAGATATCATGTGCTACAGCTTATGTCATATAGATTTCTAGGATAATTAATAATAAGATTGCTGCCCAAAACTATTTTTAACACTGATTAAGAGAAATTGGCTCGGCTCCAATTTATACAGTGAGCAGTATTGTGCAGTGCATAAAACAGCGCTTTTGCAGCATGTGCTATAAACCGAAGTGTGAGAGATCTGGTGTCCGACACACATTTTATTATTATATTTTAAATAACTATATTAAGAAAAAGTATATTTGGAGAAGACAATTCTCACAAGTCTAAGTAAATTACTGTGCTTTTGAAAATGTGTTTCTTGATTGAACTGACTTATTCTGAACAGAAATGCACTAAAAAAATGTCATGTGGAAAATTAGCTTTCCATCTCCCAAGAAGATAGATCTGACATTCGTTTACGACTTAGTCGTATCATTTGGAGATATTAGCATCAGTTCAGGGTATACTGTTGTTTTCTCTTAAATAAACGTAAACATTTGCAAAGCAATAAGTAATTATTCTAATCTATAATGTCCGGACATTATTAGATCGTCAGGGAGTGTCACCCTGCATGTATAAAAGGGGGGAGTACCATTCGCCAATAAATTTTGAAAATATGTTAATTAATCTTTCATCTTACATATAGTATATATATACATATATATATATATATTTTGCTGTGCAAAATTATTTCATTCACTAACCATATGTGATGTTCATATGTGCTCGTTTCTCATTTCATACAATTAAATGATATGCAATAAATGTATGTAATTGTCTTCAATAAGTTTCTCACTTTTCTTTTGAGTTGTCCTGAGACTCTTTGTTGTTTGTGAGTGAAACACACAGAAATGAAACTAGAAAACATGTCATCTCCATATTACTGCCCCACATTTTAACACTGCTTATAGGGGTCTTGTTACCCTCTTTTTAAGGCGTTTCTGCCAGAATAAATTTAGTAAGAGCTTCTTACACCATTTTGGAAGAATCAGAAACAGGAATGAATTGAACATTTAAGGAAAGCAATTCAGGCTGGCAGTGTAAAAAAAAATTGTAAAATGTAGAGATGCAAGTCCATTGTTGCAATAACTTAATGAAGCCTAATAATAATAACAATAACTCACAGTGGCGTGCAGCTAATTAAACATTTCTGCTTTGACAGTCTGTTGAATGATAGAGACACATGTTTCTTCACAATCCATGAATTAACACCAAATAAAAATATATGTATTTATTATTTCCTATGATGATGATCCTAAAAAGGAGAAACAGACCTTACCTGCTGACATTTTTCATTTAAAGTCCAACGTGATTCTATCATTATAATCAAAAAAATAAGTGTTAGAAATATTGTGTTTGCATCTCAGTTCATGAACTTCATCCTCATTTTTATTTGCAGAAGTCCAATTTGATTTTATGCCTGATAAATCATGTTAACGTTACTATGAACAGTCTGGTCATGTGTGAGCCTTTCTATTTGTGCATATGTGTGTGCTTATCTTAAGTGCTGCTTCATGTGGGAGTATGCAAGCGTGTATTTGGACTTAGGTGTAAATCTGAATGTGTGTGTGTGTGTTTCCTTGAGTGGCAGTATGTAATAATGACAACACTGTGAGTTTCCTGTGGCTGTGCATGATGCATGCTCCATATTTGTACCCTTCACTTACCCTTTTTACACATTCTTTGCTTACTTATCTGTTGTGCCCGCTTACTGTGTTTCTCGGACACTCTGCACTTACAGTCATTAGCATGTCATCGTTTGGCTTTCTCAGTTTCATCCAGCTCTTTCCTTTTTGTCAGTGGGTCTGGACGTTGGCCTGAAGCAAACATGCTGTGGGAGACGGGGCGCACGGAGGGCACAGCCATGTCAGGCATGTGAGGGGGCGCTGGAGAAGGTGCCAATTTATGTCAGCCACTGTGGTTAGCAGAAGAGTCTCTGCTCTGCTGTACCCAATCTTGCATTGCATTTGGTGTTTTTACATCATACGCTGATTTTCTTTTTAACATAACTTTTGGACTGCACTTGGACACGAACTAAACTTGCCACTTTCCAGAAAGACAAGAGGAAAAGTTCTTTGCTGAGTTCACAAGGAATAGGCTTGTGGGCATTCGGAACAATTTGTTTGTTGAAACAGGAAGACCAACGTGCCAAAATACACTTTGAGGAAACGCTACAGTTTCTGAAGACAGATTCAATCTGGATTTGTCTTCTGTTTTGCAGTTTAGCCACAGATTATCAGTGTCCAACGGATACAGACAAAAAACGCCTTTCATAAAAATGAACCGCACTGTCAGTGTGTTAAAGCAGTAAGTGCTCAACCGTTCGTAGTCTTTGCCATTATAAATTTCATACTTGTTAAATTTGCAAAAAAGCAAGCTTCTGCGCCATCTGCCAATGATGATGTGCTTCACAGCTCATCAAAAAGGAGAGAGAGGGAGAGGGAGAAAGACAGTTTTAACCCAAGATCTGAGGTGTGCACTGCTGCTGTGGTGGCTGATTTGCCCAGAGTGAGGGGAGAAGCTGAGACAATAGTCAGGCTTGGGCTGAATTAAATGATTTTGCTGATGATTAATAGTGGTGTGGGCCAGTGGCTCCTGCGATGTAAAGATGATAAATCGTGAGTGTAGCTCTGTGCAGCTGTGCCAGTGTTGGGTCTTAGCATGTACACACCATGCAATTTACAGCCAAGCCGTTCTCCTTCTTCCTCAATTTATCTAATTACATCTAAAGCAGTAGTACCGTTATAGTCTGATATGTCACATTAACCACAACAATGTATGAAATGACTTTAGAGAGGATAATCATTTGCTTTTCCCCTCATTTAAAAGACATGTTTTTGTATTTGCCATTTCAAAGAGGAAATAATTTCCTCTTTGCTTAAGAGTCTCTTCTTTTCTGCCTCTCTTTAAACCATGCTTTCAGTGCAGTGGGTTTTTTGATGTGTTTTGAGTGGCATGTAAAAAATGAACATTTGTTTTTTGCTAGGGGCTTCTTTATAAGACTCTTAAACTTATTTAGTTTGATTGTTTCCTCATTGGAATAGATCATTTAGACCTCTAATGTCCATCCACTAAAACACAGTCACCGCACGCATACTAAACATGAAAACACACTCACCAACTTACAATACGAAAACAAAAGAATAGATTTGCTCCATTCTTTTGTTTCAGACCATAGTGTTACTTGTGCTTCTCTCTGTGTGTGACTCAAACAGTCGAGTCCCCGAGCTAAATGGCATTTTTTGCGAAGACAGATCTAATTTGTAAAAAGATGTTTCCTCTTATATCTGTGGTGCCCGTACGCAGCGGTTATGTAAGTGATAAAATGATCGATCTTCCAGCGAGACACTCATGTGGAACGCTGGCGCTATGCAGGTTGACAGCATAAGATGCAGCACAATGTTCAGTTAAGTACCAGTACGCCAGTCGACACAACCAAAAATAAGAGCCGGTTGGGGGTTTGAATTCTTACAGGCTGTAGAAAGTGCCAGAGGAACAATTGGAGCAAATCTTTTTGTCTTGCTGTTTCGCACGGTATGTCATGTATGTGTTTGTAGGTGTAGATGCATGAATCCGTGTGTGTGCATGCATGTGTATTTCTCTTGTTGTGTTTTTTGTCAAAGAGGATGAGCAGAGGTCAAAAGTTACAGCGCACAAGGCTGCTCCCAAAGTCATTAGAGTAATCCCTGCCCTGGGGAACTCATGCTCATTTCCTCTGCCCAAAACCCAATGAATGAGATGTACACACACATCCGACATAGCATAGTATCCAGTAAATTCAGCACAACTCCCTGCTATATATATTTTTTAATTATTAACATCCTATATTTCACTCCTGTCTTTACATTTTTTGAATCGCAAGAAAACAAATAATATATTTTTGACTGTGAAAAGATTATATAATAATACTATACTATAACAGCACACATACAAAAGGAGTTTAAATACAGGGTGCAGGAAAAGTGTCTATTAATAAATATGCTGTGAAGGGCAGTGGCATTTGGCTTAAGCTGGCCAGGTTTATTTTCACGCTGCCATTCATTCTGATTATTTTCATGTATTCATTTATTTATTTATTTACTCTGAGTCTGGTAGTATTTGTGGCACACATGGTGAACATTTAATCTTGTTCTCACACCCACTTCATTCAACCATTTCATTGTGGGTGTTGCAAAACAAAGCAGCCAGTCGTACATGGGGTAAATTCATTGTTCCTGTCTTAAATATCAACTGACTCAGAGTGGGTGTGTTAAGCTGTGGCTTTCTGTCACATTTTACACAACTGGGGTTAATAAAGACTCACAAAATATCAAAAGTGCCAAGTTTCAACTGTGTTTTTTTAAAACATATTTTTCTAATCTGTCTTAGTGTGATGAGAAATCCTAAATAAATGGAATAAGATCTTTCTTTTTTTTTCTTTGCATTTTCACATTTGTTCGTCCTACCTTTGCATGGAATTCGCTTCTGTTTTTCATTTTTACTATTTTCATTTTCAACAGTTAGAAAATGTTTTATATGAGTTTGGTTGTGGATAAAAACCACTGTCGACAGAAGATTGGAGAGAGGATGTGCAGCAGCAGTGGCAGTCATGTGTCTCAACACAACCAGGTGGCAGCCACATCTGTGAATGGTCTGTCTAAGTAGAGAAACAAAAAAAGGAACATTATTCTCACATTCATAGTGTAGAAGAGAGGAATAGTACAATCGTATAAGAGAGGAATGGTGCAATAGTGCAGTTCACTGGAAATAAATAAATGCCAAGCATCAATACTTACACTTTACACTTTGCTGTCGATGATGTCTGTACATTTCTTTCTTTCTTTCGTGGCAGAAAGCTTGCTTCAAATAGACATTAAGCTGATACATGTGGTGTCATTAGAGAGTCGTCCTTGAAAGACTGGCTGCAGGTTATGTTGGTAATGAGGTGGTAGGGATTTGCTGGAGTAATTTTATATGTCTGTAAATGGACCCAAACCAAGAGCCTGTGACTTAAATAAATGCAGCAGCGCTAAAGCAAGAGGTAACGGAGTAAAAGAAAAAGTGAGACACACAGTCCTTCAAACGGGCATATGTTTGTGAAATTTCTCCCACTAAAAATCTAGCTACATGAGTGAAATCCCTGTGTGCTCCACAAATGTTTTTGTTTTCTACACATTTAAGTCCATTCCTTTGGTTCCTCAGGTGTAACTTTTAAAGCAGATCAGTATGAAATAGGGAGCTGCATGCAGAGCGATACACATGGAGCATAGATGTAAGTGCAATTTTGTTGTTTAGGTAAGTCCAAGTCATATCTCAGCATATGTATTTTTACACTTTCAGTACTTTCACCTTGAATGACCGGTGAAATAAAGCAAACCTAAGACATGAAAAAGATAATATCCTGCTATATCTAACAGGTGATATGATTTGTCAGCTGATTGGCTGCTGATCACAGTTTAGCACCATTAGGAGCCTTTTGTTTTTTTTTGTTTTTTTCTTAACATCTGTCATCACAACAGCTGCCTGACTGCTTTTGTGCCAGTTCTATGTGGCATTTATTTGAAAATCCAGTGATTTAAAATTTCCCTCACAGTAGCGTACAGGCAAATTACTTCCACCGCTGTTATTTTCCAGGAACTTTAAATCGGCCCGGCTTGGAATCTGCAAAGGGAGCTAAGAGCTGAGCTAATGTTTTTACTTGTGCTGCAACATTTATAGGGGATATGAACTGTATTTGGACCCGCCTAAAGAAACATGCCCACTTTTGTATGTTTTGCCAGGGTACTTCTTAAAGTTTCAGTCACAAGGTAGCAAGGAAACAAGACTTTATCCCTCTCTTTTTTATTTGCCACGATTCCTCCCCTGTTAGAACAATTCATTATTCAACTGAATGAGATGAACAGAAATAAATGCCTCTACAAAAAAAAAGAAAAAAAATCTATTTTGCCTTGTCTGTGTGATGGCACGCCGTACGTACGTTTAGATATTTTAGTTTTGTCTCTTGTGTTTTGATGCATGGGTTCCGCCTGTAGAATCTATTTGCATGTAAATTTTTACAATTCCCCCAGCATCAAACATTTACTATGATACATGTAGTGTATTTCACCAAAGAGACAAGGTGAGAGTGAATCTTGCTCAGAATGAGTCTGCTTGTTTCTTTGTGATTGTTTGTGTGGGCCTTCTTGTGTGTATCCGTGTCTGATGCAGACAGAAGAGAAGAGGGTGAAAAGGTGACACCAAGCATATTTACGCTGATATTAATTTATCTGATCTGTTTGTCCAATCTTTTCTGCTTCTTCAGGTCATCAAGAAAATTTCTCCATCTGTGATTTCAAGCACCATCCCTCCGTGCCCTTGAGGATTCTTGAGGTAAATGTCTGATAACTTTGGCCTTTTTTTTTTTACATTTTCTGCTTAATAATATAGCAATATCAGATTTGTTGAGTTTACAAAATATTCCTTCTTTAGAAAAATACCACAGCTTTGCACATGCTACCAAACATAGCTGTGTTATACAAGTATTATTTGTGGTATGCATTTTTCATTTATAGCACTACACAATTAAATCCATATTAACTATTCATTAATATCAGGCAGTCATATTAAACGGAGAAAATAGTCACCACATATGCTACTGAATGTTTTAAAACATAATGCATGTCTGTAAGCTTTTTATAATGGATACATAATGCATTGTATATGCTAAAGAGCACACACCTTCTTAATGTTGGCAATATCTCTCTACATCTATCTCCCTGATGCAATAACGTTCCTTGATATCGTATCCATTATCATACCTTATTTTATCCATGGAGAAGAAAAATCACACGACACATGAAGTTTTGAGTCTAGGGCAACATCCTTCATCCCCGATCATGACAACCGGCAGATTAGAGCCACTCATTCAAATGCAAATTATATGTTCGTGTTTTGCACCAGTGACAAAGAGTGAAGAATAAGATTTGAGTCTTGATATCAATTTGCAGAGACAAAGGGCAACCTGGGAGAATGTATATTGCAAACCCAAATGTTCCTGTAATGGTTTCACTGATTGTTCCAAAGCAAACAGCTGCAATGTGCTTCATCATGACACATAAGAATGAAAGAGCACTTGCATTCTAACTTTTTCCACCAACGTAAAGAAGAATATACTGTAAGTGTGTGCGTGTGTGCTTGTGTACATGTATTTGTATCTGCTGTTATTTACTTGATTGTCTCTAAGTGGGGAGCGGGATCAGTAGCTGGCCTTTCGCCAGATCCACTTAACTTCAGGAGGGGAAGCAGGACAAAAGCCATCAGGGAAGACAAGGACAAATCATCTTTAGATGAAGTGTTTTAAGTGCTCTGATTCTCCTCCCACGTCATCACTGTGAATTAGGTGCCCTCTGCTCACTGCTAAGGGGTGTCGAATATAAACAATGCCATGGGAACGGATGTTAAACGAATTAAAGTGGAAAACCATGAGGGTGTCTATCTTACGCGGCCTCGTAAATCTCGGTTCTCCTGCCATGCGCTATGCTGATGTTGTGCTCTGACAACCTGCCAGCTGAACTTAGAGGTGCTGCGTGCGGTGTGGTCTGGTCGATCCCGTTCTTAGCAGTTTCAACCATGGCAGACATTCCAGGCAGAGCCATGTCTTTGTTTTATGCAAATCCATGCATATGAAGAATGGGGGGGGGGGGGGGGTTGGGGTGATGAGCAGTCTGGCCACGTAGCTCCAGGAGGACAAGCTGAGTGATGGAGACGGAGAGCCAGGTCTTGGTGTCCTTGCCTGGGGAAACAGTGTCCTGACTCGAGCCTGGACTGCCACCAGGACACTATGTCACTGCGCCTCTACCTAACTAATCCTAGAAGAAAAAGATTTTCCCAGGCACAAATGTATTTACGCCACAAGATGCAGAGCTGGTATGAAGATACTGTAAATAGAGGTTAACATTGGTATAAAACTACCTGCCAGTGTGCTTTTCCTGTGTGTTGTAAAGGTAGGCACAGCTCAGGGGATTGCCATGCAAAGAGACACTGGAGTTCAGAGCCCAGTAGGGAGCTGAAGGACCCAGAATATGCTGACAAAGATAAAATGCCAGGTGTGTGTATATGCAGTGTAAGAGGCTGTGAGAAAGTGCAAATATAGATTGGGGGGGGGAAAGGTCTGTGTGTGTGTGTGTGTGAGTGTTTGTGCTCACATAAAGATACAGCATACAGTCATGTGACCATTGTATGACAACGTGGTTTGGGTGAAACCTACTGAAGCAGCATCACCCACATACCACAGCTCATCGCACTGTTCAATTTCCCATCTTAACAAGTGTCTTTCGTTTCTTCACATCTGTGTTTTTTCTGTGCAGTAAATTATGTTGTTTTTAAACTTCCCAAAACATCTTCTCTTGCCCACCCCTTCTTACAGTTGCTTGTTAACGGTAATGGTTAGTAGGAGGCGAATCCGCCACAGTGTGCTCTATTTCTGGGTGCCAGGATGTTGGTCTCAGTCGTTGAGGGCAGATGAAATCGATCCAGATTAACCTGTCATGTGGGGGAGAAAATGAATGGGACAGAGGGGTGCAGAGGCCATGGAGAGAAGGGGGGCAGTGTGAAGTAAAAAAACAACCTCCTCCATATGGGTCAAAAGTTGTGGGATGATTTATTCAAGACTGGGTGCTATCCCACCTTCCCCCCCCTTCTATCTGCTCCACCTGCCTCTTGGAAAGGAGTGAGAAACTGGAGACTGTTCAGGAGGAGGTGACTATATTTAGCCTTGATGACCAAAGACACTGTGGTCTAACTTTAAAGTTAAAAATACATATATCCATGTACAGTGAGATGGACACAGTTTGCGTCATCACAAGGCACCTATCACAAATTTGTCAGCTTGAAGTGACTCGTGAAGAACGAGTGCAAAGCAATGTGCAGCTTCCAATAGATGCGTTTTCATTAAAAGACTGTATGAGATTGAACTAAGTTTTAGTACCCCTGATTAAATTCATGCTATTAAAAGTTATCATGAAACAAAGATTTTACTTGTAATTGTGAAAATTATGTATCCTAAGAAAAATATGTGTGTGTGTGTGTGTGTGTGTGTGTGTGTGTGTGTGTGTGTGTGTGTGTGTGTGTGTGTG